ATCTGGTACCGCTTCTTTCCGAATCAGGAACCACTCGGGAGTGTTTAGTCCTTCGTTCTGACGGTCGAGTCGTTCTAGCATCTTATCGACTTCATCTTCCTTACAAGGCAGTACCATTTGCAGTTTGCAGTAAACGGGTAAATCCATCGGATCCATCATCTTAAGTTGGTCGCCTTCTACCGCTTTTAGTTCCGGGATAGTGTTTTTCACCCATTTTAAGCTCAGCTCGTTGTTACAACAAATAAAGAGCGAACCACGCTTCTTCAAAACCTCCATGAGCTCAGGCCGGAAGGCGTCTTCAGCTATTTTGTTAATCCTCTCTAACAAGCTATTTTCGACGATTCGCAACTGTTCAAAGGCCAAAAACTTCGTCGGAAATCCATCGGACAAGATCGCCAGCCACCGTCTATCTTCCTTTTTGTTAGGAAGCATTAATCGGATTTTTAAATCTTCTATTGGCGGTAAGTCAGCGACGATTTTCTTCAAAACCTCAACTGCTTCTTTGTTTGTCAAGACGACCCATAATCTACCTTTCCTGGGTTCAACGACCCTGAAAAATTTCTCATCGGGGTCCATTTTTTTCTGTTCGACTTTGAATTTTTCTGAAAGGTCGGTAAACTGTTCTGGCGTTAATCGTTTTATCGGATAGCCGTCGATTACCACCAAAGCCTCTATTTCCCCAGGTTGTACTCCTAGAGGCTTTTGTGGTTGCCATTTTCTGGTCTTAACTACTGGCGCTGATTGAGGTTGCTTTTTTTTTTCTGCTTGCGATGGTGTAGCTGTAGCAGTACTGAGATTTGTGCCGGCGGCGCCGCCGCCCCTCTTCTTGCGAGTCTGATTTCGGACTCTCGGCTTTTTTGGATCTGCAGCTGCTGGCGGAGTTGATTCTGCTACTGGTCGTTTGCGACCCTGGCCCCAGGATCTATTTTGGCTTTTCATAAATAGTGGTTTAGGCGTCCTTGGAGAGCTATCCCAATAAGAACCGTTGTTGCTGTTGTAATTGCCGAGCCAAGCTGGGTTTCCTCCTCCTCCTCCTCCTCCCCCTCCCCACGGTGAATTTGAACCGAAGTTATTCTGGCGCGAACTAGAGAATCCTCCGCTATTTCTATCGGTTTGCCATATCGTTCTTTGATTAAAATTCGACGATGGAAGTTCGAAACTGTTGTTTCTACTGTTGCTGTTGTCACTGCTAAACCAATTATCATCATCGTATCTCTGTTGTTGCCTGTTGTTAAAATTAGAGTTGCCTCTGTTATTAGATTGCCAAGGTTGTGTAAATCCCGATTGGTTTGATGGTTGAAATAAACCGGAATATCCTTGATTAAAATTATTAAAAGAGTTGTTTCTGTTATTCATGATAAATCCCACGAGTAGCTAGGGAAATAAAATGTCCACTCCTACAGAGCCCCGCATGCAGGAGCAAGGCTGTTCTTCAATGGGATGTCGCCTGGTGTCCCAAGGGTATCGTTATTGGCACTAAACCCTAGTACCTTTCATGTCTTCGGCACGATAACTTACACCTTAACAATGGGGATTTTTTTTAACCGAGAGGTTTACTCCTCTACGTAAGTGTAGTTAGAATGACATAAAAATTAATTTTAAAAAATAATAATAAAAAAAAGTTTAAAATTGAAATATGTTGTCCTGAAATGTGTTAAAATAATTGAAATCTATTGTCCTGAAAGGGTCTCATCTATATCTTCCACTAACTCATCTATTGCTGTAAAAACATCTGATATATCATTAATATCGTCCGCATCTGCAGTTTGATCTGCAGATTGCTGGCTTTCATCCTTCGGATCAACGTACGCCGTATCCGGATCTTCAACTTTGTCATCGGTAGCCTTGGGTTCTTTAGGTTTGTATCTACCCAAGCGCTTGATTTTTACTCTGGTGAAATTCAAGAACGGATTGTAATCGACTTTCTTCAATTCCGATAAAACGCTATCGTCAACAGTAACGAACAACTTTTGACCGCTGTCGTCCAGTTTCCTGTTCAACAGTATCCATTCGCTGGCTTTTAAACCCTTGTTTTGCCTTTCTAATCGTTCTAAGACCTGATCCGGTTCTTCTGCGGGCCCTGGAATCCAAAGTTGTAACGTAGATCTTTGTGGTACATCTATCGGATCCATTATAACTATGTCAGAATCTTTCCAATCTTCTAGGAACGGCACAGTGGTTCTTAGCCATTCAGCGCTAGGTATGTTGTTGCATTGGAAATTCAACGCGCCCCGCTCTTTACTGCAATTTAAAAATTGCGGCATAAAGCTACCGGTTGGTATCTTGTCAATCTCTTTAAGAATATCAGCGTAAAGTTTATTTAACTGTTCCATGGTTAAGAAGGCTAATGGATACTTTGACGGAACGATCAATTTTGAAATTTCTTTTGTAGTAGTAATGGAATCTACCACTTTTAATTTAGCTTCCGCCCAGATGTTGAGTTGCGGCACTACTTCCTTCAACCAATTGGCAGTCAAAGCGTTGTTGCATCTTATTAACAACGCACCAGTATCTCTTTTGCAATCCAAGAATTGCGGACGGATCGCGTCTTTAATTTGATCGATCGATTCTAAAATTTCGTCTTCCAAGCCGGTCAACTGTTCGTCGGTCATCACTTGTTTCGGATATTCGCTTAAGGCTACCATTAATGTTATGCCGTGCAAAGGTTTATCGCTACCAGTTGATCCTTTACCGGAAGATGATGAACTTTTCGGCTTAGGTTTATTGAATCTTGATGGCGGCGGATCTTTATGCCATGGTGGTCTACCTCCTCTCGACCGCCCTCCTCTACCTCTTCCCCCCCTTGAACTTCCCGATCTTCGGTATGCTCCAGGAGCTCCCGAATATGGTTTTGTTTGGTTTGATTGATAATTAGGCTTCATAATAAATCCCACGAGTAGCTAGGGAAATACAGACGTCCACTCCTACAGAGCCCCGCATGTAGGAGCAAGGCTAGGTTACAATGGGATGTCGCCCGGTGTCCCAAGGGTATCGTTTGTGATACTGTACCCCAGTACCTTCCATACCATCGGCACGATAACTCACACCTTAGTAGTGGGGTTTTTTTTATCGAGGTTTACTCCTCTAGATCCGTTGCTTTAGATGATAAAAGCAACGGTCCTGTATCTTCATACCTGGATAAAATCCTTATTTGATTTGAAATGATAAATTAAATTTTGAATATAGAAATCGGTGAAATTATTCTGTTTTTACGTCTTCTTTAATTGTAGTATCTTCTGTCTTTTCAGGAGTGGCGTCAACTTCGGTATTTACATCCATTGGAGTATCAGCCTCTCCATCAACTTTTTCTTCTTTTGCCGTTTTTTCTGCTTCCGGTTCTGGTTTCGTTTCTTCTTTTCTGTTACGCAATGATCCTAAATATCTGGCTGAGAGCCTTGTGAAGTTAAAGAAAATTTTGTTATTGATTTTTTTAAGAATGTCAGCGATAGTTTCATCGACAGAGAAACTGAGTACAGTGTTCTTTTCTTTTTCGTCCAATTTTTTACTGATTACGTTCCACGTCGATGCCTTAAGGTCTTCATTCTGTTTGTCAACTCTTTTTAAGAATACGTCGGATTCTATATTACCAGGAATGGTGACGTAGAAGTCTACTAGATTTGGGAGTTCATTTTGTTGTAAAACTTTAAATTCGGCGCCTTCCCAAGGTTTAAGTTCGGCGACGGTGCGTTTCAACCATTCTACACTGTCTTCGTTGTTACAGTAGAGTATCAAATTACCGCGTCTCTTAAAAGAATCTAAAAATTGCGGCGAAAAACTATCGCCCGTGATTTTACCGATTTCGGCCAAAATGGCCTGTTGTAGCTGATCCAGTTGTTCTTCAGTAAGATGTTTATTTGGAAAATCGATGGAAGTGACCAACATCTGGATGCCTTTTTGCGAACTGTCGTTTCTTGATTTTTTAGCGTCAGAATAGCTGCTGCCATTCTGTTTGCGCTTCGGCGGCCTTGGAGGCCACCGTCTAGATGATCTTGGCGGACTCTGAGATCTAGAACCGTTCGCCCACGATCTAGAATCTTCGTACCGGCCTGGATTTGTAGCCCACGGAGGCGGGCCACGTGAATAAGGTTTGTTATATCTGCTATGTTTCATAATAAGTCCCACGAGAAGCTAGGGAAATAATTTGTCCACTCCCACAGAGCCCCGCATGCAGGAGCAAGGCTGTTTTGCAATGGGATGTCGCCCGGTGTCCCAAGGGTATCGTTTACGGTACTATTGCCCCAGTACCTCGCATGCCCTCGGCACGATTACTTACGCCTTAGCAGTAGGGTTTTTTATAACTTCCAAAACAACTGACGAACCATTAATTATTCGAAATGCAGGATTAGGTAAAGAAAATTATACGTATCGCTAAAAAATTACGACACCTCAAAGAAATGTCGATTATTTTTAAGCGGAACATGTAAGTTTTCTTTTCCTACTCAGGTTAATAAAATTTCGTTTAATTTTTGGTACATCAGTTGATGACAGTTAAAATATGGCGGATGCGCCAAAAGTGTGTTCCATTAATAATTAAAAATAATAAATAGCCGATAATGTAAAATCGTTATTGTAAGCTAAAATAGCAATTTATCTCATTTAAATTAAACATATTAATATTTTCTGTAAGTGATAAAAAAATTATATTTCTAGCCATTTAACTTAAAATAATTCAGTTACATTTTTTTAACAGCACCTTTGAGTTAATGACTGAAAAAAAATATATGTATTTTGAAATGTTATACAAAAAAAAAAGAGAAATTATTTAGACAGCCTTTCGATATATTATGAATTTAATTATTACTAATAATAACTATTAATGAATGAAGATTTCTTTTAAATTGTAAGATAAAATAACAGTCTCCATTTGCTCACTTCTTGTATATCTAAATAAAAGTCAAATGAAGATGTTAAAAAACACCAAATCTGTTTACGATTAAAGATAAATATAACATCTCAAAATACATAAATACCAACTCCTAGAAAAAGGTTCAAACTCATACCTGCAACTGAACGCACAGCTCTTTCGTCACTTCCAAGTCGTTTTTCAAACTGCCGTCTGAAAAATTCGTCGAAAATGCTGCACGATCGTTTTGGACGCTCTGCATTTGTCTTTCGAGATCGCCGATGTGGCGAATGCGGTTCTGTTCCTGCACGAGGAGGTTTTCATTTTCTTGTTGCAGTCGTTGGAATTGGTCTTGAAGGGTGGTTAGTTGTGAGTTGAGTTCTTCAGTGTAGTGTTGGTAGTGAGCGGTGGATTCATCGCGTTCTGTAATAGAAGAAAAACACACAATAATTTACTATTCATTTTTTTTGGGTAGATAAAAAAAAAAACTTTCCCAAGTCCCTTTGATTCCGGCCCGCTCTGCTCAACAACGCGAATTGTTCACTCGCTGGACTGGATTTACCTAGTCAATACGGTCTGGATCCAACTAAATTAACCCTTGACAAGGCAGGCTGAAGTATGTAAGAAATCGTCCTCCAATCGGAAAGCTTAATCGACATTATTTATAATTTTTATTTTAAAAGCAAGTTAATGCAATTGGGCGTTTAGTTTATAAATTGAGGAGTGTGGTTTCAAAACCTTTGTCCAGTGATTTCTCAGAATTGACAAAAAACCTGTAACTTCAAAACTACCACAGTTTTCGATATTATACTAATACATAAGGTACTTAAAAGGCTACTAAGAGAATTTTGACCACTTATTTAAGCTTATTGGCAGGTAGAAAAACAACTATAGCAAAAAATATTTTGAACTAGTTATATTTTTTTTGGTTGTGTGAGGTGATTTTTTTTTATTTTTACATTGATTACTTTATCTGCTATGAAATGTAACAATCAATTCACTTTTACTAATGTATAAAAGATGTTATTTATTTTTAGATCTCTATAAATAGTTTGAACAATATCCCCACTACTTTTCAGTTTCACACATATAAGAGAATGTCTATGATTTAAAAGGAATAAATGAAAATTGTATTGAGAATAATAGAACAATTTTGATAACTTTAAGCAAGGCAAAAAAAATAACAAATATGCACGGCTATCATCACGAAGCCCATCACACATCACAAAGACTAGTCGAAGCCCGGTTGTGCGGGAGGGGTAGGGACTTGGAAATAAAATAGTAATATTTCATTAGTTCGGTGGTATATATTTAACAAGATATATGTTTCTCAGTTTATTAGAAGCCCGGCGGTGTTGCCTGAATTATAATTATAACTTTTAGATTTTTGGACTATTGTGACAGACTATCAATTTACAGAAGGATGTTACAATTTAGTTGAAATATTTTTCTGGCATTATTCATGTAAATTCTATACAGGGTATTTTCAAATAGGTTAATAACTTATTCAAATAAATAACTTTCTCAAATAAGTAACTTTCTCAAATAAATAACTTTCTCAAATAAATAACTTTCATATTTCATATAAATAAATTTTTCAAATAAATAACCTAACTAGAAATCATTTGAAAATTCAGAAACAAATCTCAAAAATACCCTTACGAATTATTAAGACCATCTCCGAACCCCAAAGGTGAAAACAAATACTTGAAGATTTGAAAAAAGCATTTCGTCGCTAGGACTCGAATCCATACATCTTTGTTCTGTACACAAAGATTGCAGTATGATGTGTTAATTCGGACCAAGCGCCTTTTCAGGCTCGTTCTCAAATCTTTAAATACATCTATACAGCATCGGTGTATATGAGAAATGCATTGATGCATACTAAGCTCATGTCTTCGTCTGCGTGAGTTAAGTAACAATAAAATATTAGCAGTATACAAGACAAGGGCGGCTCCAGAGAAGGACCATGGCCACCCCCCTACGTCAAATTTCTTACAATCCATGAGCATTTTGTTAAAAAATATGCTAAAAAAGGAATGGCTAATGACAATGGCCCCCTCCGAAAATTCGGTCTTGAGCTGCCCATGATACAGGGTGGAATTAGTGAGATTTGATATCTGTTTACATTTAGTTTTACATGGGAAATGATCAATTTTGTTGCAGTATTAGTTTAGTATTATAAGTAATAACCTCTTAAAGAATACAACTCCACCATTAACTCGAATCGGAAAAGAACTTTAGAGGTTATTCTTAAAAAAACTTAAATAAAAAGAATTGACCGTTTATTTTGCCAACCCAGTCTTAAAACCGACGCGAAATTAATAATATTGAAGAACTAAGATAAATGATTACAAATAAATTCACTGCGCTCCAAAACAATCATATTAGAATATTTAATTCCTAACTTGGAAAAAAGAATTTGGCTGTGTATAAACGAATGCATTTGAGAAGTTACTATAATATGTAATATTTTTCATATACTGATTAAATGAATAATAAAAATAGTTCAATAATTGTAACTTAACTATTTGTAAATGCTTTTTCCGCCTACCTTTATCCAAAGTATACATTTCCTGGCCTCATTGCAGGTAGCAGTTGTAGTTTTCCTCCCTAGGGAGGCAAAGTACTCTTACTCCCTAGGGAGGAAAAGTAAAAGTGACGTCATGTCATAAATGAAATAGCTTATACGGCACTGACGACCTAAACTATATTCTATTATATAAGTATAAATTTTATCGTTTATTTATAGAACACCCTGTATTTTGGAAAATAGTAAAAATCAGTAAATTGTTATTTTAATTTAACGATTTTTACATTAATAATTTGACTTTAATTTATAAATTCATCCGATTTTCGAATTTAGAACAGAAATATTATAGCATGCTATGGTCGATTGACAGATCAGTTTTAAAGTGTGTTACGCTATAATATATCTACAAAATATAAAATAATATTTAAAAAATGAGTGATTCAAGCGAATTTAAAGATATAAATAATACATCACCTGATATTTCGGAACAGGTTAATGCAAAAGTACAATCTCTATTACCTCAAAAATCTAAAGAAAAATACGAAAAAATTATTTAAAAATGACTTGTTATTTGAGGGAGGCGGAAAAATCATATGTATTACTTGGAAGTAAAGTGCCTTTTCCTCCCTTGGATGTTTACTGCCCTCCGCTTCGCGTCGGGTAGTAAACTTCATCCTGCGGGAGGAAAAGTGGTACTTTCCTCCCTAGTAATACAAATAGCTATTTAGGCGTGGTTGACACGTATCACTTGCATTCTCAGAAATGGAACTCAAAGGAGTGGCTTAGTACTACAGTTGCCTAACCAACAAATTTGTACATTTAGAAATTGTCTTTTATCCCTTAATACATAAATAAGTATCCCTACTTGACTTTCGCTTTGATACTAACCTTTAAATTTATTTAATATTCACTTTTGTAAATATTTATCGTATTTTGCGAAATTTTGAACATTATTCGGAAATGTCGAGTCATTAGTGGTAAAACGTACACTTTAACAGAATTGATTTTTATTTTTCTTCAGCAATTTTGTTTTTTAATTAAAACTGCAGTTATGTAGTGTTATTAATCATTTAAATATAAATAAATAAATAAATAAATAAATTGGCCTCTAAATTGTTAGTTTAGCATTATGAAAAAGATGGAAAATGGTTAAATGTTTTACAGTATCACTTTACAATCACCAAACTACAAGATACATATTTGGGTGATTCTCGCCTAACTGTGATTTTTACAACTTACATTTTTCTAAAATTAAAAATGTTTCAAAACGTATGTTTTACGCGTTTTTGTTTTCTATTTATGCATAGAAATAAGCCTGTAAAGTGGTTCTACTACAGCTACGACACAACGAAAACTGTGACAAAATTTAAAAATTTTAATGCCACGGTACTGACATATAAATGATTTTTTTTTTTTTACCAATCCAAAGATTGGTATAAAATTGTAATAAAATTCAATGCAGTATGCATTAGATTGTAGTTATAAGAGGTAAATTTTATATTAAAAAATGAATTTTGATAGAAATTTATATATTTAATTTTAAAAATAAGAATCGGACATGCCACGGTACTGACATTTCGAGTATATTTATATGCAGCTTAAAAAAATTACGAAGGTTTACGATCTAATTCATGTCTCTAAATTTATAATATTACCAACTTTTTGATGAGGAAAACTGATAAATAAACGATAAATAAAACACTGGACATAAAAAATCAGTTAGGCGAGAATCACCCATTTATACTTATGAAATATTACTCTTTTAATTTTTTGTTAAATGTACCTTCTTACAGACCAGATGATGGTCAATGACTTGAACTATTCACTCCGCTCTGTATATATAAGAAAAATATGTTCTTTGATTGAATTTTTCTTTGGGTTAATAAAAATAAAACATTTAACAATTTTTTGTGGCTAATAGTCAGGTAAATGTTAGAGTAAACTCTAATGAGCAATACCATTATGGAAACTTATTTTAAAGGAGACCTATAAAAGCTTTCTTTAGTTAAATCAGCCTTTACTATTCGATTATGAAATTGAAGTAGATTTGTAAAAAATAACTAAGAACAATTATTAGTATTATTACAAAGACACATGACTAATATTCTAATTTCTGATTAAGACTTTAGAATTTATTTCTAAGTTTATTAAACAATTAACACATTTGCATTTACGTCAGTTTTCCTGGAGGTGCCATAATGAGCTTTGTGCAATTTTGTGTGACCTATACTACAATGAAATTTAAATTTGAAAACAATCGATAAAAAAAACTAACTCATGACCAAAACTGGAGACAAAATTAATATGTATTCATCAGGGTGATTCATTTCCGCATTTTTTTTTGTTTTTTCGGTGCTCAAGCAAAATATTAATCTACATATAGAAAAAAAAATCTCACCAAGTTTGAGCTCTTAATATCAATTTTAAGTACTCACTATTTAAATTTAAAGTTTTACCATTTAAAATGCATGTAAAAAAAATTAGTTCTAATGCTTACCCACCTTTTACAATATTGCAAATCGGTTTGATGGACCTTGTGGGAATTTCACTCTTCGAAATTATTATGAGTGAGAAATCATAATAATTCTAAAAGAGTTCTTAGTGTAGGGAAATATAATGGTAATCAATAGAGAAAATTAATCTAAATAACATTATGAATTAGTATTTATCAATTCCTTATGTTTTCAGGTATAAAAATGGCTGTAAATTCATTAATATTGGTCAGATAACTTTTTTTTAAAACTACTTTGACCACTCCTACTGGGGAACCAGTGCGAGTTACATAAAAAAAACTCTGAAGCAATTTCGAAGATCATGAAATTCCCACAAGATCCATCAAACCGATTTGCATTATTGTAAAAGGTGGGTAAGCATTAGAAATTAAAACATG